ATAGCTGGGTTGGGAGAACGATTTATTGAGCAGGTGACTGGTGTTCAGCTCATCAGAGGAGATTTCTCCCGTATGAGTTGGCAGCACGTTGCGTACTAAAGAAGCTGGGGGTTGTGCATGAGCGTATAAGTCGAAAAAGAGTCTGAACTTTCCCAATCGCGTCTACCATTTCAATGCTTGCCACGAAGTCAGGACAACACAATTTTTGGTCATTCTCCGTTGTGTTTGGTTTCACGGTGGAGAGAGCAGAAATTTGGTGAGTAATAAGCTTTTGCATCCCCATCTTTTGTGCAGTGGTTAAGAGCTTTATAGACCTACTGCTCTTTGTGTCGTTTTTTCTAGTTTAAGAGAGGCTACTGTATCGACACTAAAATCAACTGGAACAATGCTCAGTCTGAAATCAACATCGTTTGATAAAGTATGGACATTGCTTGGAATTGAAACATTAACTGTTTTGTGGATAACATTTCTATATTTCTGAAGACTAAACTTTAAGGTGGGCATTTACCAGAGTCTGGTCAGTGGCGTTTGTGTTTTCTGCTTATGTGTCGCAGAAGGCTCGACATTTCTGGATCGACGAGGCCCTGCAAGGACGTATTAATATGTAGTATGTTTGGTGTGCTGTCATTGGTCTGGCTTTGAAAGCAGATGTTTGTAACGGTAAGTTGTCACGTATTCAGGTGGTTACTATTTTCACACCTTTCTGCTAGAACGAATTTTTCCAATGTGTTGCGTGTGCCTTTCTACGGGGTCCATAGTAGTGTAGTGGCATCCAGTAGTTAAAGGAATTATGGAGTGCATAGTAGAACTAGTCTTCGGTGTGTGAATTGGCATGTTAGGTTGGGTCGGAAACTGCAGTCACGTTCACGTCAGACGGGCTACGGTGATCGTTGGTGAATTCGGCTCATTGGGTCCTGCAGCGAGGTAAGCCATCAAGGTGCGGTCTCATCTTGACGAGTATACCTGGTTGTCATCTTAATCCACTATCATCGATTCCACTATTTCTTGTACCCTAATCCTTCCATTCTTTGATATCACTGTTTTCAGTTGGAATCACACTTGTTCGCAAGTTGATAATATATTTATGTATATTGCATTGTAATTAGTGTCTGTTGCTATCGGTCGTTTTTTAAACAAACCGAAATCATTACTGTAAATGCTTTATTTGAAGTCGTTTACTACCTTTACGGATTGATTTTAGTTACTGAATGAGCATCTTACTACGTTCCGTGAGATCGTTGATGTGTTTCTCCCCAAGGCGGTCTAAAGGTTCTTACAAGACCACGATTAATCATCCGAAGTTTCCTTTCTCAATTCATCCAACACCCGGATCGCGATCAGCAGTTAATGTAAGTAACAAAAGGTCTATCATATTTTTAGCTCAAATGGAGTGAATATTTTCAAAAACAATGCAAAATTGTTGAAAGACCCACGTTCATTCTGCACGATGGTCCTCCTTACGCAAATGGGAATTTACACGTGGGCCATGCGTTGAACAAATTCTTGAAAGATGTGGCGATTCGCTATCACATTCTCCGAGGCCAACGTGTAAACTTTGTTCCTGGGTGGGATTGCCATGGACTTCCGATTGAGCTTAAAGCAAAATTTGAAGTGGACTCTCCATCTGCTAGTCAAATTCGAGAGAAAGGTTTTTTTATTCATCTTTCAAAAGCACATTTTTTTTACCTTAAGCCAGTGCAATAGCATCACACTACATTCAGTCACAAAAGGAATCTTTCTCCTGTTGGGGTGTTCTTGGAGACTGGTCCCATTTCTATGCAACTATGAATCCTTCCTATGAAGCGGAAGAACTGCAGGCTTTCTCCGCGTTGCACTCAAAAGTAATTCTTTCAACTATTCTGTTTGGATACATTGTTGCACCAGAATTTAGTTTACCGACACTTGCTCCCTGTTCATTGGTCTGGCCAATCCAAGTAAGTTTCCTTTTAATCTCTCACAATTGTGTTTACAGAACTGCGTTGGCGGAATCCGAATTGGAGTACAACACAGAACACGTTAGTAAATCACTTTACTTCAAGGTGCATCTAATAAATGCTACTGGAAGACTTTTCCCTGTCGATCAAGGTTAGCCTTTTGTGCAGTTGAAATGATTTGTAATAGGTTGTGATAAAGTGTATGCTGTCATTTGGACAACAACGCCATGGACGCTTCCTGCAAATGAAGCGGTGTCGTACGATCCTCATTCAAAGTAACGTATGCTTATTTAGCGTTTTTTCTGTTTCGTTCTCAATTATGAAACCAATTATCGAATACCAATAACATAGTAAGTGTCAAACACTCCAAAATGAGATGGAACTTTTCGAACGTCCTAGTAAAAGAAGAATTCAGCTGGAGAGAAAAATGAATAAGTGCTTGAACACCTGTTTGCGATGTTGAGCGATGTGTTCTAGTATTTCGTATCACAAATAGATCGACCATCATGCTTTTTTTTTTAGCAGCTCAACTTCATTCATACGACTCGCTATGATGATATAGAGTTTCTCACTTTGATTGACCTTTTTGAATCATCCGTTTCACTAAATGAAAAATTCGGGGCCGTTCCATTCCGGAGCATCTGCAATGACTACTCCATCCCATTCAGTCAAGGAACATCAAACATCTTGTCCAGTACCCGACCACGGCCACATTATCCCGCATCTGGTATTGAGACTGCCGCTTCGGTTGTCATGTCACTTCTGCGGCTAAGCCTTCGCGTGTTCTTTTTACCTAATGACTCCTAGTACTTTGGGGTAACTCTGGAGAACTCATCCTAACACGTTTGAATGTTGACAGTCAAAATAGGTTAGGTGTGGTATTAAACCGGACGAGAGCGAAGCTGCCTACTACCAAGTTTAAAACGTTTTCTGGCACGCTGGATTTAAAAGAGCTGACCGTTATTCCCGTCTGTCTGCTTGATTACTGTAAAAACATATACCTCTATCTTATCAACACCATTGAACTCAACCTTGCTGTTTCAGTTTTCAGTTTGAACAACCATTAACTATGCACTTTCGTGCACCGGTTTTGGTTGCTGTCTTTTGGCTGCCAATTTGGATGAAGAAAAGGAGAAGGAAAGTGGAGTCGAAAAGAAAATGGAGAAGTTCAGTGGTCTAAGGTTGCAAA